CTCGCGACGGCGTGGCGGGCTGGGGGCCAGAGCTGGTGCTCACCTTCTCCTCCCCTAGTTCCTGTTGGCAGAACTGAACACGTTCTACCTGAAGTTTGTGCTGTGGATGCCCCCGGAGCACTACCTGGTCCTCCTGCGGCTTGTCTTCTTCGTGAACGTGGGTGGCGTGGCCATGCGCGAGATCTACGACTTCATGGATGACCCGTGAGGGCTGCGGGGAGCCGGGCGGAGACACCCCCGGGGCGGGGGTCCGGGTGGAGACACCCCTGGGGGGCAGGGGGCCGGGGAGCAGAGACTGGGAGGCTGGGGCCTGGGCAAGGCCTCCTGGAGGACCCTGGGGGGCCCGGAACGCTGAGCCCCCTGCTACCCCTGCAGGAAGCCCCACAAGAAGCTGGGCCCGCAGGCATGGCTGGTGGCGGCCATCACGGCCACGGAGCTGCTCATCGTGGTGAAGTACGACCCCCACACACTCACCTTGTCCCTGCCCTTCTACATCTCCCAGTGCTGGACCCTCGGCTCCGTCCTGGTGCTCACCTGGACCGTCTGGCGCTTCTTCCTGCGGTGAGTGGGGGCGGGCGGGTGTGTTCCGAAGGAGGGCTGCTGTCCGGGTCTCTTGGCGCAAGCGCTGTGGGAGTTTGGTGGTGATGGTGCCTCCTGTCCCTGCTCCAGCCCTCTGGCTGCTTCTGTGGGAGGGGCCTTTCCTGACCCAGCCCTCGGGTCCTTCACTCTGCACTGGTGGATCCAGGCTCCTCAGGGCTCCAGTCAGCCACGGCTGCTGTCGCAGGGCCAGGGTACCCGGCCCCCACCCAGCCCATCCTGGACCTCCACAGGGATGAGGTGCCAGCTGTCCGTGGGGCCTGCAGTGGGGGCTGGTGTGGAAGCAGGTGATGACACTGCCCCCTGCCCCCAGGGACATCACTTTGAGGTACAAGGAGACCCGACGGCAGAAGCAGCAGAGCAAGGATGACCAGGGCAGCGCCGTCGGCAACGGGGACCAGCACCCGCTGGGGCTGGACGAAGACCTGCTGGAGCCTGGGGTGGCCGAGGGCGAGGGGCCACCAACTCCAAACTGACCTGGGCCGTGGCTGCCTCGTGAGCCTCCCAGAGCCCAGGCCTCCGTGGCCTCCTCCTGTGTGAGTCCCACCAGGAGCCACGTGCCCAGCCTTGCCCTCAAGGTTTTCTTTTCCTTTTCTCCCGTGCATCTGGCGAGGCTGAAGGCAAGGGGTGGAGGAGGCCCCAGCACAGCCTCATCTCCGTGTGTACACGTGTGTGTGTGTGTACACATGCATGGCCACCTGTGGTGTGCACGTGTGCTCTCCTCCAGTGCCGGGAGCTGGCTGGCGTGGCAAGGGTGTGCTCTGGGGCAGCGTGTCCCTCAGGAACCAGGTCCTCCCTCCCCTTTCTGCCTGGTCAGCCCCGTGGCCTCTGGCCCACCAAGCTCCGTGTCACTCAGCCACGGCATGGCCCCGGCAGGGACATCACAGTACCCTTTCTGCACTCCGTGGGCCCCGGGTGCACTGAGGCCTGGAGGAGTCCACCCTGGCTCCACATCCACCTCCGCAGCTCGCGTGGGCGTTCGTCCACAAACACTCCATAGCTGAGAGGCAGTGGATCCAGGCGGCGACGCTGAGCCATTTCCTCAGAGCCTTCCTTTCACACAGACCACCCTGGAGGACACGCGGACGGGGTCAGAGATCACTGAGCTGGCCCCTCCGGGGGGCCTGGAACCCGGATGCTGGGGCCATGACGCCTCTGGCTCCGAGTTGAGGGTCGTCTTCACGAGCAAAGAGAACCAATAAAGTGACAACGAAAGTCTGAGGCTTCCAGCCCTCCCCCCAGCTCCCCGTGTCCTGCTTTGGGGTCCAGTGCAGCCCCCCAGCCTGCTCTCACACCCAGCGCCCACTTGGGGAAAACCACAGAGGACGGGAGGCACTGGGGTCAGCCTCAGCCTCTGCGCCTGAGCAAAGACTTGGCGCCCGCCCCGCCCTGCCTCCCAGAGAGAGCAGGTGCCGGACGCAGCCCCTCCCCCAGGATCCAGGAGGGTCCAGCACCCACCCTCTACTGCGTTTGTCCCAGGGCCGGGACCACTGGGCAGTGGACACAGGATTCCTGGAGAGGGACAGCTGCCTTCTCGGGCCACTTTTTTTTTGAGATGGAGTCTTACTCTGTCACCCAGGCTGGAGTGCAGTAGCACCATCTTGGTTCACTGCAACCTCCGCCTCCCAGGTTCAAGCAATTCTGCCTCAGTCCCCCAAGTAGCTGGAATTACAGGTGCCTGCCGCCACTCCCGACTAATTTTAGTATTTTTAGTAGAGATGGGGTTTTACCACATTGGCTAGGCTGGTCTTGAACTCCCAACGTCAGGTGATCCACTTGCCTCAGCCTCCCACAGTGCTGGGATTACAGGCGTGAGCCACCGTGCCCAGCCAGGCCACTATTTTTTAAACTTTACCATGAAAATTTTCAAACACAAATGGAGAGAAAAGGGGTTCCCTGAGCCCGGTTCCTAGCAGGGGGGAGGTAAGGGGTGTCGGTGGCTGGTTGGACACAGCCTGAGGGGACTCCAGGAGCCAGATGCACCCACACTGCCTGCTCTGCCTCAGGGCCCCAGGCTTTAAACAGCTTTACTTTTTTTCTTTGACTACTTTTGGGGAAATTTTCAACCCCTGTATGTCAAGGGCTGTAATGTGGAGCACACATGAGAGCAGCCTCCCGGGCTCGGCAGGAAGATGTCCTGTGTGGCCACCACGCCCGGTGCCCAGCAAATCCCTTTTCCAGTCACAGCTACTCACAGCTTTGGCCTCTGCGGCCCTGCCCTGTGCGGCAGGACACACGGGGCCTCAGCATCTGCTCTTTGCAGGTGGCAGCTTTGACCCCTCAGGAGGAACTCCCCACTGTGGGGACCCCTCTCCCCTCCCTCACTCCTGTGGGACCCCACTGTCACTCCACCCGTGCTCTGCATCCCCCTGATGCTCTGAGCCCCGTGGCGGCCGGCGGGGGTGGTGGCAGGCGGGGGTGACGGTGGCGGCCGGCGGGGGTGGCGGCCGGCGGGGGTGGCGGCAGGCGGGGGTGACGGTGGCGGCCGGCGGGGGTGGCGGCCGGCGGGGGTGGCGGCCGGCGGGGGTGGCGGCCGGCGGGGGTGACGGTGGTGGCAGGCGGGGGTGACGGTGGCGGCCGGCGGGGGTGGCGGCCGGCGGGGGGGGCGGGCGGGGGCGGCGGCCGGCGGGGGTGGCGGCAGGCGGGGTGGCGGCCGGCGGGGGTGGCGGCCGGCGGGGTGACGGCCGGCGGGGGTGACGGTGGTGGCAGGCGGGGGTGACGGTGGCGGCCGGCGGGGTGGCGGCAGGCGGGGGTGGCGGCCGGCGGGGGTGGCGGCCGGCGGGGGTGGTGGCCGGCGGGGTGACGGCCGGCGGGGGTGGCGGCCGGCGGGGGTGACGGTGGTGGCAGGCGGGGGTGACGGTGGTGGCAGGCGGGGGTGGCGGCCGGCGGGGGTGGCGGCCGGCGGGGGCGGCGGCCGGCGGGGGTGGCGGTCTGCTCGTGGTCACCGTCTGCTCTTCCCAAGGAGCAGGACGAGGCGGGGCTTGCGATGAGTCCGGTGTTCAGGCGCCCGCCGTGTCCCAAAGGCGGCCCCTGGGAGCCTTTCCGGCAGCAACTCAACCCCAGACAGCGCCCAAGGGCTCTGGTTCCCCACACACCGAGATGCTCCGAACTCACCTTGGGCATCTCTTGCCCCAGGCCTGGCATCACCCATGTCCCCAAGGAGCCCTGTTCCCCTGACTAGGGGGGTCATAGTTAAGAAACTAAGATCCTGGGTCATTTTTTAATGTAGTATGTATGTATATATGTATGTATGTATGTGTGTTTGAGACGGAGTCTTGCTCTGTTGCTGGAGTGCGCTGGCGCAATCTCAGTTCACTGCAACCTCCACCTCCCAGGTTCAAGCCATTCTCGTGCCTCAGCCTCCCGAGTAGCTGGGATTACAGGCATGGCCACCACGCCCAGCTAAATTTTGTATTTCTAGTACAGACAGGGTTTCATCACGTTGGCCAGGCTGGTCTCGAACTCCCGACCTCAGGAGTTCCCGACCTGATCCACCCACCTCAGCCTCCCAAAGTGCTGGGATTACAGGCAGGCGTGAGCCACTGTGCCCGGCCTCCGCACCCAGCCCCTGGGTCGCTTTAAAGGGCTTTATTGGGCCGGGTGCGATGGCTCACACCAGTAATACCCAAGACCAAACACCAGCCTGGGCAACATGGCAAGACCCTGTCTCTACAAAAAATACAAAAATTAGCCAGGTGTGGGGGTGCACGCCTGTAGTCCCAGCTACCTGGGAGGCTGAGGTGGGAGGACGGTTTGAGTCCCGGAGGTCGAGGCTGCAGTGAGCCGAGATCGCACCACTGCACTCCCACCTGGATGAGTGAGAGACCTTGTCCAAAAAAGGGGGGTTGCCGGGGAACTTCTTTGCAATGAATTTGTAGTTGCTGACTCAGCATCAGACCTTTGAAAGCTGACAAGCGTCCCCCCTCTTGGCTTGGCAGGGCAGGGCACCCCGGGCTGGCCCACCTTGATCAGCTGCCCACCCGTGGGCAAGATGGGCTGCCCCTGAGGGTGGGCCCCACCGTCCCACACAGAGCTGCAGACAAAGCTGGGGCGAGAACTGGGCTCCAGGCAGGACCCCAGGTCGGGCTGCGCTGGGCAGTGCTGGGAGCTCCTGAGGCTCCAGGGTGGAAGCTGTGGGAGTGGCTAGGCCTGTGGGCAGCTCCCAGCAGGCGTCACCCTGCACAGGCAGAACCAAGGGGCATCCCCCACCCCAGGCAGGGCCTGCCCTTTGCTCCCCAGTGTGGGTGGGGTACGGCTCACAGGACCCAGCTGAGCACAGCCAGGGCCTTGGGCTGCTTCCCTGGTGCAGGTCCCTTAGGCAGTGAGAAACCCATGCCACGTGAGGTGGTGTCGTCTCTGATGCCAGCACAACTCGCAGGGACCCCAGGAAGGACAAGAGCCCCTCCTGCCAAGAAAGTGCTTTAATGGTTTATAAAGTGTCCAAAATATACTGGCAAAAATAAGCGGATCTGAGCGTTTCTCTTCAAACCTAGGATATGCAGGGCGAGGACGTGGCAGGGGCTGGTCAGCCCCAGGGGTGCCTCGAAGCCGGTCGTCCAGGGAGAGCAGCGGCAGGAAGCGCCTCAGGAGATGACCCTCAGGGATGGCTTCTCCTCCTCCAGGGCCTGCAGCCGGTCCTCCATCGCCTCGGACCAGTAAATGTCGTACAGGCTGCACAGAGGCCAGAAGGGAGGCATGGGTCTGTGTCCTCCCCAACCCCCGCCTTCCTCCCTGGGCAGCCCTGGCCACACCACCCGCCCAACGCGTCCACATACACCAGCTGCTCCAGGAGGCAGCCCGGCTGCCGGACACTCTCCACCAGCTGCAGGACGCCCGCGTCCCCCAGGCAGTTGTTGCTGAGGTCCAGCTCGCGCAGGCTATGGTTGGCCAACAGGGTCGCAGCAAGGCTGCTGCAGCTGCTGTCACTCATATCACAGTCGCCAAGCCTGGGTGGAGCAGGGTGGGGGTCAGGGTGCGGGGCGTGCCTGGCACCACATGACCAGCCGAGCAGCCTGGGCCTGGGGGGTGCGATGGAGGCCCACGCCGTGAAGCCCAAGGACCGACGGACACCTGTGCTCGGTAACTCGGGACCCTCAGGTGGGGCCGTCCCCAAGGCTCAGCCTTGGCAGCTTGTCTCACTGTCCCTCTATGGCCCTGGGCAGGTTCCCCACCACAGACAAAGGCCACACAGACAAGTGGGGCACGGCAGCCTGACATCTGAGACCTTCCGCAGGGAGGAGAAAGGACAGGAGGGAGATGCCGTCCACCCAGAGAGCCACACCCACCCCCTTGCCTCTCCTCGGGGTGGGCTTCAGAGGAGAAGCCAGCCAGAGGCCAAAGGGCAGCTGTGGGGAAACGAGGGTATGGAGACCACCAAGAAAGGCACAGAGTGGACAACAGACTTGAGGTTCCAGAGAGTAACGAGGGTACAGGCCAGACAAGAGGGTGGAGGAGACAAGACCCGACACCCACTTCCCGGGGTGGAGCCGCCACAGGCCGGACAGCAAGGCCAAGGAGTTGTGCTGGGCCTCTCCAAAGTGGGGGCCAGAGAAGCTGCAGGACCCCCACCCTGTGCGGTGGCTCAGGGGGAACCAGTCTGCAGTGAGCAGGACCCAAGGTTCCTCTCCACACCTGGAACACCCACAAGGTCCTGACAGCCAGGATGGTGTCCCTTGGCAGGGAACTGGAAATCCCCCAGCAGGAGAAAGCCCTCGGGAAACATAGCCATGACTCAGTCTGCAGGACCCCCTGTCCAGCATGACTTAGCCTGCAGGGCCCACTGTCCAGGGCTCCGAGGCCTCACTCAGAACCTGGTGCCCAGCCCAGGATGACCAGCCACCCATGGAAAGCCCCTGGCAAGAGGCACACGGGAAATAGCAAACAAAAGACAAAACACTGAGGATGGAAATTCAGTAGACTGGCTGGTAAATGAGAACATCTCCCAAAAATAAAACATCGAAGAGAAAGAAAATTTGGAGAGCACAATTAGAGGGCCAGTCCACAAGACATCAGGACAGGCTCATGGGCACACCAAAGAGAAAGGGAAGAAAAGAGAGAAAAAAAATCAGCAAAGGCATATTTTCTTAGAACCAAGTATCCAGCACAGTCAAAGAACAAGACCCACATCAAAGCCAAGCACATGGAACCCCGAACACAATGGACAAAGAAATCTGGAAAAACTGCTGAGAAAAAGCAGATCATATGCACAAGATCACAGTGGCTCATGCCTGTAATCCCAGCACTTTGGGAGGCTGAGGCAGGCAGATCATTTGAGGTCAGGAGTTCAAGACCAGCCTGCCCAACATGGTGAAACCCCATCTCTACTAAAAATAAAAAAATTAGGCCGGGCATGGTGGCTCACTCCTGTAATCCCAGCTCTTTGGGAGGCCAAGGCAGGTGGATCACGGGTCAGGAGATCGAGACCATCCTGGCTAACATGGTGACACCCTGTCTCTACTAAAAATGCAAAAAATTAGCCGGGCGAGGTGGCGGCGCCTCTAGTCCCAGCTACTCGGGAGGCTGAGACGAGAATGGCGTGAACCCGGGAGGCGGAGCTTGCAGTGAGCCCAGATCGTGCCACTGCACTCCAGCCTGGGCGACAGAGCAAGACTGTCTCAAAAAAAAAAAAAGCTGGGCACAGTGGCACACGCTATACCCAGCTAAATGATCCAAGGGCAGAGCAGGGGCACAAGGCCTCCAAAAATTACGTTCTGCAGAAACATTTCTCAGGAAGCTGCAAGAAAACGTCCTTCAACAAAGGGAGGAAATCCGGAAAGACATCCTGACCCGGAAAGACATCCTGACCTGGAAAGACATCCAGAGCCGGGCAGGGTTCCCGCGCGGGAGGAAGGTGGGCGGGGCTTCCAGGAAGATGGACCACAGGGTGGCCAGGGAGGCTAGAGCCGCATAAAGCTCTCAGGTTTCATGAACTATGACCTCTTTCAAAGCTAAAAAGAGAACTCAAAGTGGTGCCACCACCCTGCCTTGCCCAGCACATGAACATGCATGCTCGCTCTCACCCATGTACTCATGCACACGCACACTCGTGCTGACACGTGCTCTCACACACTAATGCTCACTCTCACCCATGTGCTCCCACACATGGACAGTCGTGCTCACACTCATGTTCTCACACACAGACACGCACGCTCACTCTTGCCTGTGTGCTCATTCTTGCTGTGCTCATACACACACTCATGCTCACAGACACGTGCTCACTCTCGCCCATGTGCTCCCACATGGACAGTCGTGCTCACACTCATGTTCTCACACACGGACACTCATGCTCACTCTCACCCATGTGCTGACACAATCATGCTTACACGTGCTCACATGGACACTCGTGCTCACTCTTCGCCCATGTGCTCAATCATGCTCACATGCTCCCAGACATGTATGCTCACTCTCGCTCGTGCTCGTGCTCACACGTGTTCACACACGTGCTCTCACCCATGTGCTCATACACGGACACTCATGCTCACACACACGGAGTCGTGCTCACTCATGTTCTCACACACGGACACTCATGCTCACTCTCACCCATGTGCTCAATCATGCTCACACGTGATCGCATGGACACTTGTGCTCATACTCGCTTGTGCTCACACACTCATGCTCACGTGCTCACTCGTGCTCTCACCCATGTGCTCACTCTCGTGCTCACACACACGGACACGTGGCTCACTCTCGCCCATGTGTTCACACACACGGGCAGTCATGCCCACACGTTCTCACACACGGACACTCGTGCTCACACATACGAACACTTGTGCTCACTCTTGCCCATGTGCTCACACAGTTGTGCTCATACATTCTCACACGGACACTCCTCTGGCTCGTGCTCACACACACGGACACTCATGCTCACATGCTCACACAGACACGTGCTCACTCTCGCTCGTGCTCACACGTACACTCGCTCACTCTCGCCCATGTGCTCAGACACGCTCATACACACTAGTGCTCTCACCCATGTGCTCACACACGGACACTCGTGCTCACACGTGCTCACACGGATACTCGTGCTCACCCATGTACTCACACACGGACACTCATGCTCACTCTCGCCCATGTGGTCACATGAACACTCGTTCGCATGCCCATGTGCTCACACAAACGGACATTTGTGCTCACACTCGGGCTCACTCTCACCCATGTGATTTCACAGACACACATGCTCACACTGTGCTCACACAGACACTGCTCATTCTTGCCCATGTGCTCACACACACGGACACTCGGGCTCACACATGCTCACATTCATGGACACTCGTGCTCACACATGCTCACATGGACACTTGTGCTCTCTTGCCCATGTGCTCACAGACACCCATGCTCACACACACGTGCTCACATACGCCTCACCCATGTGCACACTCATGCTCACACACTCGTGCTCACACCCACATGTGCTCACACACGGACACTTGCGCTCACTCTCACCCATGTGCTCGCACACACGGACACTCGTGCTCACACAGACACTTGTGCTCACTCGCCCATGTGCTCACACACGTGCACATGACCTCCCAAATATGTGTACTCGTGTCCCTCTCACACTCACCAGAGCACCCGCAGCACGGAGCCGGGCTGGCCCAAGCCCTTGCAGAGTTCCTGCACGCCCGCGTCCCCCAGCCTGTTGTTGCTTATCTGCAGCTCCAGGAGAAATTTATTCTGGGTCAGCACCGAGCTGAAGTGGGAGCAGCAGGCGGCTGTGAAGCTGCAGGACTTCACCCTGTGGACAGACAGGACTGAGGCCTGGCAGCGGACCAGGCTGGCCCACAATTGCAACTGGCCCTTCTCCTGAAAGCCCCACATGGACCTGAGCAAAAACATCTGAGAGCCTCCCAAGGTGTGGGCACCTGCACCTGGTCCTCAGCCCCAAGCACCGTTACTATCAAACCACAGGCTGCTCCCTGGCCCATGCATTCTGAACGCCAGAGCTGAGCCCAGCACCTCCACTGGAGTCGCTCACTCCTCCCCTGGTCTCCTTGGTGACCCTGGCCCTCTCTTGGGCGACAGGGCCCTGCCCCGACAGCCACACTCACCACAGTGACTCCAGCTGGCAGCCGGGCTCCAGCAGCGTCTCACACAGCAGCCGGGCACCCTCGTCCCCCAGCTCGTTGCCGGCCAGGCTGAGCTCCTTCAGGCTCTCCTTGGTCCTGAGGACACGGCACAGATCCGCACAGCCCTTGGCGGTGATGCCACACTCCCAGATCCTGCAGGACATGGACCCCCCCAGACTTTCCTCAGCGCCATCTCATGGCCTGAGGTGCGCCCAGCGGGTGGGGGAGGGCTCTGAGGACGGCCCGCGGCCCCTGACCCTCCAGGAAGGAGGCCTCGGGGAGGTGACTCACCACAGGGTCCTGAGGCTGGAGCTGGGGTGGAGCAGCCCTGGGCACAGCTCTGCAATGCCCACATCACCCAGCTTGTTGCTGCCCAGGGCCAGCTCCCGCAGCGAGGCCTTGGAGGCCACGATGCTGCACAGGTCCCGGCAGTTGTTTGACGTGATACCACAGCTCTCCAGCCTGGGGACGCAGGTCACGCGTGAAGCAGCATGGGACCCCCGGCCCACACCCCGCACCTCCCCAAGGCCCAGGGCCTACTTGAGCGCCTCCAGCTGGCAGGGGGAATCCTTCAGGCCCTGGCACAGCACACGGACGCCGGCCTCATTGATGTCGTTGTTGCTAACCGTGAGCTCCTTGAAGTCCGGCTTGGCCCTGAGCACGGAGGCCAGGGGCTCGCAGCTGGCAGCCGAGAGGTTGCAATACTCAAGCCTGGGGGGTAGCCGAGCTTAGCACCACACAGGAATGTGCACCAGCCAAGGGTGTGATGCCAGGGAGTGCAGGGGGGTGCTGGTGTCTCATCTCTCCCTCAGCCTTCTCCTGCCTAGGCATCAGGTGGCAGTGCTGAGGGCCCCCCAGACTCATCCAGAGGCCCAGGCCTCTGTGGACACCGGCATTCCTTCTGGAAACCCCTCACCCCTCCCCGACCTCGGACCTCGGGGCCCAACCAGGCCCAGGACAAAGAAACCAGCCTCTGGAGGGCAGGGCCGCCTGCACGTGCCAGGCCGTGGTCAACTCACAGTGGCCGGGCCCCCCACACACACTGAAGTGGTGAGTGGAGCCGGACTCACGGCCAGGTCTGTTCCCACTGTCAGGTCCTGGGGCAGCTGTGCCTTGCAAAGGGCAACTGGAGGGGGAGGGAGGGCGACGACAGATCCCCCAGTCCCAGCATCATGGAGAGGGGAGAGCACCACAAGGACCCTGTGACCTGAGTCCCTCCTCACGGCTCCTGGCAGGCGATGTGCTACATAGGGGGCTGGCTGGGGGACAGGCAGTGGAGAGCATGGGTCCCGGGGCAGGGGACACACTCACTGCAGCTTTTCCAGGCGGCACTGGGGGTCCAGGAGTCCCTCGCAGAGCAGCTGCAGGCCCGCATCCCCCAAGAGGTTGTCGCTGAGGTGCAGCTCCTGAAGCGTGGGCAGGGAGCGTAGCGTGCCGGACAGGACCCCGCAGCCGGCCCCCGTCAGGTAGCAGTTCTGGAGGCTGGAGCATACCTGGCCGTCAGCAGGGCTCCCCTGAGCCAAACTGCCACACCCTTCACCTGCCAGAGCCTGGAGCCCGGAGCGGCGCTCTGCAGGCGGTAGGTCTGTACTGCTCCTTCCCTGGACAGGGCTCTGGGGTCTCCAGGCCGAGTGAAGGAGGGCACACGTGTGGCTCGGCTCAGGGAAACCTTGTCTGCAGACACACCCTTCAGCAGGGGTCCTGTGGTGATGCTGGAAGGCCAGGGATGGCGGGCGGGCCCAGACCTTGGGCGCAGGGGCTGGGACAAGGCAGGAGGGGCCCTGTCCCCCCGCCGTGAGGCCACCAGGCCTGTGTGCCTCTGGCTGATGCTGGAAATGCCCGCTGCCACCGCCTGCCCACCCACAGCTGCCCACGAGCCCCTGGCAGCTTTGTCCCCTGCTGCCGGGCTACCAAAGCAGGCCGCACCAGGCCAGAGGCAGTGCCAGGCCCCACCTCACCTCAGCTTCTGGATCTTGCAGGAGGGGCTCTGCAGGCCCTGGAGCACGCAGTGCACGCCGGCATCACCCAGCTCATTGCTGCGCAGGCTGAGTTCTGTCAGTGCAGGGTTGACTCGGAGTGCCGAGCTGATGTCGCCGCACCGTGCCTCTGTGAGGCCACAGTCGTCCAGCCTGCAACCAGACCCCAGGGTCATGCGGGCCACGCTCAGGCTCCTCCACTACCCCACGCGCAGATTACAACCCATCAGCGGGCCCAGAAGACAGCACGGCAAGTCACACAGGACGTTGCAGAAATGAAACAAAAAAGAGGAGAACTGTTCTGTGAAAGTTTTAAGGCCGGGCGCAGTGGCTCAAGCCTGTAATCCCAGCACTTTGGGAGGCCGAGACGGGCGGATCACGAGGTCAGGAGATCGAAACCATCCTGGCTAACACGGTGAAACCCCGTCTCTATTAAGAAATACAAAAAACTAGCCGGGCGAGGTGGCGGGCGCCTGTAGTCCCAGCTACTCGGGAGGCTGAGGCAGGAGAATGGCGTGAACCCGGGAGGCGGAGCTTGCAGTGAGCTGAGATCCGGCCACTGCACTCCAGCCTGGGTGACAGAGCGAGACTCCGTCTCAAAAAAAAAAAAAAAAAAAGAAAGTTTTAAGATGCTTGCACGTATGCAGACGTGTGCCTGAGGCCTCACGTGCTCCTCACCTCCAACCTGAGGCACGAAGCACAAAAGCTCCTGGTCTGTCTCTAGGGAAAAAAATCAAACCTGTCTGAGGTGACACCTACGGGAACTGCCTGGAACAGGACGCAGCAGGTAGTTCAGACACCGGAGCAAATACACAGTGACACCAGCTTCTAACATGACAAATACACATACTCCAGTCCTTCCTGATTAAATGAATAACTGAATAAATACAGCCAGGAAAAAAACCAGGTCTTGCTCACAAAAGAATGACAATTGATCAATGTGGAGGAAAGAAAGAAATTACAAAATTCAGACCGGGCGCGGTGGCTCACACCTGCAATCCCAGCACTTTGGGAGGCCAAGGTGGGCGTCACCTGAGGTCAGGAGTTCGAGACCAGCCTGGCCAACATGGTGAAATCCGTCTCTACTAAAAATACAAAAAGTAGCCGGGCGTGGTGGCAGGTGCCTGTAATCCCAGCTACTCGGGATGCTGAGGCAGGAGGACTGCTTGAGCCCAGGAGGTCGAGGCTTCATGAGCCATGATGGAGCCGTGATGGAACCACTCCAGCTTGGGTGACAGAGTGAGGCCCTGTCTCTAAAAACAAAAAGAATTTAAAGTATCTCTCGAAGGCACTGATCGGTCACAGGAGGAAAGGCAGTGGCGTCACAGTGAAGAGGATTCTTGCCAAAAATGCGGGACTTCAACCATGAGAAACCATCAGACAAACCCCAAGAGAGGACGTCCTACAGGAGCACGGCCAGACCCTCAGACCACCAGAACCAGAGAGATGAGGGGACAGTCACAGACGTGGAGAGGGCTAAGGAGACGGAGGACTGAGGGCCACGCAATCCTGGACCAGTCAGGAAGAAGAAAAGGGCAAGACGGAAAAGCAGACTCTGCCTGGAGGTGCTGGGCCAGAGCTAGCGTCCGCAGGTACACAGGACCACCCCACCAGGGAGCCCCGTACAGTCCTCATAACCCTCCGCAAACCTGACACTACTTCAAATAACCAGCTAGAAAGAGACAAGATGAGACCCACCCAGGCACTCATGTCCTGCTTGTGAAGCCAATGGGGTTGTGAGGACCTCGAGGGCCAAGGACTCCCAGCCCCCAGCTTGGCAGGGACAGGCAGCGCCCCACGGAGGCTCACGGAGGGGACCCCAGCTGTGTCCTGCCCTCGTGTCTGCAAGGGAGGGAGACGCGCGGAGACACCAGAGCCAGAGACCCACTGGCCAGTGCCGGCCCACACTGCATGAGCCTGGAATGGGCTTTACATTTCTAAATGGTCGACGAGAAGCACAAGAATCACATTTCATGCACGTGGAAGCTGCACGGAATTCATACTTCACGTCCATAAACAAGGCATTCCAGAGCAGTGCACCCTTCAGAGGACGCCGCCACCCGCGAGCCTGCCCCTGCCAGCACCCCAAGGCCACCCCGAGGGCAAGTGTACCTGACCACTTGGCACTGCTGGAGCAGGGGGAGGAGCTCGGCCCACCTAGCGTCACTCAGCTGCTCACACTGGATGTCCAGGCTCATGGTGGAGGTGAAGAGCCGCTGGGTGGGAGGCAGAAGGAAGAGAACGTCTTGGCCAGATCCCCTCACGGTTTCACGGGCCGGAGATTCTGCAAACGAGAAAAGTCCAAACAGGACCCACAGGGCTGATGTTTCAGGAGGAGCCGCAGCCTCTCCCGGAGCAAACACTTCCTCTTCAGCACCTTCCCCACCTTCGTCTCTGGAGCAGCCGTCGGGAGTGGGGCAGGGGGGCAGGGACCAGCACCCACCCCCAGAAAGGCCACCATGGGCAGCAGAGCTTGGGAACACAGATGCCAGCCCACCACCTGGCTGTCGCCACCCAGCCTCTGTGGGCACCTCCTCCTGCCTTATAGAGGGCGGGACAGCAGCAGTCCAGGAAGCCCATGCCTCTCATTTGCCTGGGCAAGGACAGGGTAGGGTGGGGTGGTCTGTGAGCCTGGAGGCCCCCGCAGGGGAGCAAGGGAGTCTGTGCACTTGGCCTGTGTCTCACTCTGAGGACAGGAGGACTGGGCGGGCCAGGCAGGCTGCCCACAAAGCCAGAGACCTCTCAGGATGCCAGGATCCTGGACCCGGCCAGTGTCCCAAGCAAGACAGAGCAGGTGGTGCAGTCACTTGGGGTGCCAGCTTCCATGGCCCCCCTCTGGGGCTGGGGACTCTGCACCAGGCCAGGGCACATCCCCTGTCCCACGGCACACCAGCCCAGAGGCCAGACTGCCAGGCAAGCTGGGAGAGTCAGCCTGGGACGGGCACGGCTGCCACATCCTGAAACCTCCCCAGGCACAGGCCCTGAATATGGAAGGAGGTTCCCGAAGCCCTGCGAGCACAGCTCAGGTACCTGCCAGGGGCCTGGGGAAGGGAAGTGGTCAGGCAGAGACAGCCACCCCAAACCTCGGTAGGTGGATACATTCCCTGAGCACCTGCCAAGCACTGGCCTGGGGACTACAGCAGGGCAGGAACCTGGAGAGGAGGCTCGACGGCCAGGAGGCCTCCCTGGAAGCAGCAGCCCTGATGCCACACTGAGGGGAAGGGCGGGCAGGGCTGGGGAGAGGCTCTCATCCAAAAGCCCCAGGGAGTTGGCAGGATCCACTCCAGGAAATGACGCAACCCCAGCTGCCCTTCAGAAAGACGGCCAACAGGACCGCTCGAGAGGCTCCTGGTGCCCCGACACCCCCAGCTGCCTGAGTCTGTGTGCCAGGCACTCCTCTTCCCGGGGCTGGTTCAGAGGCGGCTGGTCCACTCCGGATGAGTGGAGGGAAGAGGCCCCTGGTACCAACCAGGAGGAAAGAGGCAAGGCTGGGCTCGGGTCCACACGCCTGGGAACCAGGCCTGCAAGGACAGTGGTAAAGGGCGGTGACACCCCATGGCCCCACGCGGAGGAACTGAATCCACCCGACCCGAAGCGCGTGAGCAAAACCGACCAGGGTGTGGTCACCCAAACTCTGACTCCAGAATCTAGTCATCGGGAGGTGCTGTGGACGGCAGTGGGGGTGGAAGGAGAGCCTCAGGCAGCTGCCCAGGCTGCACATGCTCCGCACATCCAGCCCGACACTCTTGTGTCCTCCATAGCCAGATGAAAGGTGGCCCCAGGGTGTCCTCCTCCTGGGAAAGCTTGGTGGGGGCTCAGGGAGGCCAGCGCTCCTGTGACCATCTGGAACTAGGGCTGTGGGAGTGGCCCCGTCCCCACCCCTCAGGCTTGGCCAGACCCTGCTGTATCCCAGGAAGGCCCTTCTGAACCTCTGTGGGTCACAGATCCCACTGAGAACCCCATGAAAATGCGGGTGTAAACGCCCTTCTCTGTGACTGGAGAAGGCCCTGGCTCCCTACACAGCCAGGGCTAAAGCACACTCAGGAACCCGCCACCACCAGCCAGCAGCCTGCTTTGGTCAAGGCAGAGGTCTGAACAGCGGCCCTAACGGTCCCTTATCCGGAAACCAGACCTTCCCAACCTTAGGGCGGGAGGTCTCCGCAGCGCCCAAGGCCTGAGCCCCCCCGCCCCGGGGAGCCACACGGGAGGGGCCGTTCGGAGGCCAATTCAGGTCCTTCGGTTCCGACGTGATGGGGACGTGGACACGGCGACCTCCGAGGGGCGCAGGGCCACCCCTAGGGAGACACGGGCCACGCTCAGGCGACGTGCAAACGTTCCTGGTCCCTGGGACCCCCGCCCGCGTCGAGTCCCTCGAACCCGCTAGTTCTGGACACCCTGCCGCATACTAAAGGGCTGGGAGGGAACCTCAGAAAAACACGGAGGGGGTCTCCCCTGCTTCTCTGCCCCCGCCCGCGCCCGCTCACCCGGCGGCGCCGCCGCCGCAGACCCAAGGCCCGAGCCGCTTCGCGCTCCTTCCGCCCAGGCGGGGGCGGGCGGAGCCTCCAGCGTGCCCAGCTCAGTCCCCGGGCCTCGTTCCAGTTACTACCCCAGCTTCCCCACTCCCCCCTCGGTTGGGGGTGAAGCCTGACGTCCGCATCCCGTTTCCCACCGTCTGCCCCCAACCAGCCTTTCCACTTAATCTCCCGGAACCGGCGCCTGCACCCGCCTTCCCCCAGACCATCCCTCCAGCTCTGGCAGCCCCTGCCTCCTCCCACAAACAGGCCGGATTCCAAGAATTCCCCAAACACTAAAATAAAGCAAACCTGAGATACTCCTTTTTGCTGCCAGACTGGAGATGATGGAACAGATTGACGATGATTTGTTGTGGCTGACGCGAAATGGGCGAGGCTGTGAGGAGAGGTTTTGGAGAGCCGCTGGGCCCTCCTGAAAACTTTGGACACACCCTCCGTTTCTATCAGTCAAGAGTTCTGGCCGGGCGCGGTGGCTCAAGCCTGTAATCCCAGCACTTTGGGAGGCCGAGACGGGTGGATCACGAGGTCAGGGGATCGAGACCATCCTGGCTAACACGGTGAAACCCTGTCTCTACTAAAAAATACCAAAAAAAAAAACTAGCTGGGCGAGGTGGCGGCCGCCTGTAGTCCCAGCTACTCGGGAGGCTGAGGCAGGAGAATGGCATGAACCCAGGAGGCGGAACTTGCAGTGAGCCGAGATCTGGCCAAAACCAATGTATATCTTTTTTTTTTTTTTTTTTTTTTTTTTTGAGATGGAGTCTCGCTCTGTCGCCCAGGCTGGAGTGCAGTGGCCGGATCTCAGCTCACTGCAAGCTCTGCCTCCTGGGTTTACGCCATTCTCCTGCCTCAGCCTCCCGAGTAGCTGGGACTACAGGCGCTGCCACCTTGCCCAGCTAGTTTTTTGTATTTTTTTAGTAGAGACGGGGTTTCACCGTGTTAGCCAAGATGGTCTCGATCTCCTGACCTTGTGATCCACCGTCTCGGCCTCCCAAAGTGCTGGGATTACAGGCTTGAGCCACCGCGCCCGGCCACCAATGTATATCTTAAATGTATTTCATTGATGCCTCATATCTCTCTAAAACATATAAAATCAAGCTGCCCAACCACCTTGGACACATGTTCCCAGGATCTCCACCGGCCACAGTCACTCATTTTTGGTTCCGAATTAATCCCTTCAAATATTTTACATTTTAACTTTATTATCAACAGTACCTTTTTAAAAATAAGAATGGCCCTGAAAGATGTCAACATCCGAATCTTCAAACCTGTGGTGTTACCTTACGTGGCAAAAGGGACTTTGCAAATATTAGGAATATTGAGATGTGAAGGCTATCCTGGGGTATCTGGGCGGCCGGCATATTATCGTGAGGGTTCTTATGCAGAGACAGCAGGTTTGAAGATGGAAGAAGATGGCCTCTAGAGTTGGAAAAGCAGATTCTCCTTGGGAACCTCCAGAAGCAACTACCCTTGCCAACACCTTGATTTTAACCTCCTAAAACTCACTTTGGGCTTCTGAGCTTCAGGCCTATAAAACAACCTATCTATGGCAAATTCGTTATAGCAGGGATGAGACAATAGCTCACTGCAGCCTCCTCCTCCAGAGCTCAAGCCATCCTCCTGCCTCAGCGTCCCAAGTAGCTGGGACTACAGGCGTTCACTACCACAACTGGCTAATTTTTTCCATTTTTTTGTAGAGACGGGGGTCTCACTATGTTGGCCAGGCTGGTCGCAAACTCCCGGGCTCAAGAGATCCGCCCGCCTTGGCCTCCCTAAGTGCTGGGATTACAGGCTGCACCAGCGCATCCAGCCAAATGTAACCTTTTTTTTTTTTCTGAGACGGAGTTTCACTCTTGTCACCCAGGCTGGAGTGCAGTGCCATCATCTCGGCTCACTGCAACCTCCGCCTCCTGAGTTCAAGCGATTCTCCTACCTCAACCTCCCAAGTAGCTGGGATTACAGGCGCCTGCCACCACGCCCGGCTAATTTTGTATTTTTAGTAGAGACGGGGTTTCACCACGTTGGCCAGGCTGTTCCTGAACTCCTGACCTCAGGTGATCCGCCCGCCTCGCACTCCCAAAATCCTGGGATTACAGGGGTGAGCCACTACGCCCGGCCCCAATGTAACTCTTAACGGCAATATCGTGTGCAGTCTCCCGCTCATATTCGGTTTACTCGACCAATCGCTAAGACGACACTTGAGACTGTTTTCATATCTTTAGGCTTTCCACCATCCTAGAAAGGGGCCTTGCCTGGTTCTAAGGCCGTTCTGAAACACTACCCAACTGTCCTCGGGAAACGGTGCAGAAATCCTCTGGTTTCCCCCAAGGCGCGTGGGCACCTTGGCTGGAACCTCGCCCAATAACACGATGTGCCTGGGGCCCCTTCATCATTTCCGCCAACCCTGGTTACAGCCCTGACGCTGGCCCCTAAGAGCCGTTCCAGTTCTGTCGCTCTCCTCCCCGCAGCCCCAGGCGGTAGCTTCGGGGCCCGGCGTCCGGTCTCCCGGTGGTCCCAGAGCGAGGCTCCGCAATGGAGGGCGAAGGACCCTCCCTCCCCGACCTCGCACGACCGAGACCGCCCACCTTTCCCCCAACGCCCGGCGGTGGGAGCCGTTCGAGTCTTCTCCGCCAGAGCGGTCCTTCCCGGGAGGCCGGTTCTTTGGGGGAATAAGGTCAAGGGTTACGTGATTTGGGGAAGAAAGCTCGGCTGGACCAAGATTGCTTGCGTAGCTCGCTGGAATCTAAGGCACTAGGGGGCATGACGGCCACGCGAGAACGACCCAAGTAGGCGCAGCACCGCCCCCGGCCCCGCGCAGGGACTTCCGGCGCGCCCCAAAGGGGAGCTCGCGGCGCGATGACGTCTTCAGGGAGCGCCACATCCGCCGGGCGGCGCATCTGCCCAGCGCAACCTTGCCGGCCCCAGACCCCTGCCCCGCCCGACCCCGCCCCGCCGCGGGAGCGCGCCACTCGCCCGCGCAGCAGGGGCTTCAGTAGCGCTAGGCGCGCGTCTTCCGAAAGCCCGACCGAGACGGCGTGGGCGAGGCCTGGCTACAGGCTGACGCACCGCTGGAGCTACTGACCTCGGGACGACTGGCGGACGGTCGCAGGCCTGGAGACCCAGAGCGAGACGGCCGACTTCCTTCTCGAGCCAGCAGAACGGGTTGAATGTGTCGACACCTCCAGCCGCCAGAGTCAGCGGCGCGGGCGTGTTGGAGCCGGCTGGTGGGCGCGGTCAGGTGCGGGGGCGGGGACTACTGGGCGGGGCTCGGCGCAGGGGCGGGGCCTGATGGGCGCAGTCTCGATGCGGGGGCGGGGCCTAGAGGGCATGGCTCGGCTCGGGGGCGGGGCTCGGCGAAGTACAGTCGGCGCAGGGGCGGGGCTCGTGGGGCGAGGCTCGATGCGGGGGCGAGAGGGTCTCGTGGGGACGGGGGTCTCCCTAGTAGGCGGGGCTTGGTGCTGGGGGCGGGGCGTGGCGGGCCCGTGCTGTGGCCTCGCACTGGCAGACACTTCTCGGCGATTCCTCAGAATCCTCGGAGGAGGCGGCCAGACCCGGAGCGGCAGCGCCGTGGAGGCGGAGTCGCAGGCGCGGGTCGGGCCTGGCTGGGGCGCGGGAGAAAGCGGCGGCCTCGGGACAGGAGGGACCCGGGAGAAGCCCCCCTGGGGCGGCTCCGCATGTCGGGGTCGCGCCTCTAGACGACCTTGGTAGAGGGGCTCCTTTGCGCCGAGATCGCGACCCTCGAGGGAGCCACGGCCCGGTGATCCACGCTGCCCGTCCCGGCCATTGGCTGCGCCTTTGTTTCGTGGGACCCCAGCCCGCAAGGCCTGCAGAGCTGCGGACCCAGCTCTCATCGCGGACCCAGCTGCTCCCGCGTCCATTCTGCGGCCAAGACACCCGAGCGCCGCCCGGAGCCCCGGTACTGAGGGGCGCAGGCCGAGTTCCAGACTAGCCTGGGAAACGCAAAGCGACCCCACCTCCACAAAAGTGGGTTTACTTTAAGTTTTTGACTAGTCCCCAGTTCACAAAATTGACATTTTGGCAGATGAAGATTGCAAGGAAACTGACGGTACGTCAGATTTGTTCTTTAGCAATTTGCTAAACCTCTTCTCTGACTGCCTTTATTATGTATTTATTTTCCAGACAAGGTCTTACTCCGCTGCTTAGGCTGCACTGCAGTGGCGTGATCCCAGCTCACTGCAGCCTCCACCTCTCGGACTCCAGCGATCCTCCCGCCTCAGCCTCCCAAGTAGCTGGGACCACAGGCGCCAGCACGCCTGGCTTATTGTTTTATTTTATGTAGAGAAGAGGTCTCCCTGTGTTGCCCAGGCTGGTCTTGAATTGGGGTCAAATGATCCTCCTGCTTCAGCCTCCCATAGCGCTGGAATTACTGGCAGGAGCCACTGTATCCGGCTTGATCATCTTTAAAGAAGGTGGTTCTGGCCGGGCGCAGTGGCTCACATCTGTAATCCCAACACTTTGGGAGGCTGAGGAGGGTAGATCACCTGAGGTCAGGAGTTCAAGACCAACCTGGCCAACATGGTAAAAACCTGTCTTTACTAAAAATACAAAAATTAGCCAGGCGTGGTGGCGGGCACCTGTAATCCCAGCTATTCGGGAGGCTGAGGCGGGAGAATCGCTTGAACACGAGAGGCAGAGTTGCACTGAGGCTAGACCACACCATTGTACTCCAGCCTGGGCAACAAGATGAAACTCTGGCTGGGCACAGTGGCTCATACCTGTAATCCCAGCACTTTGGGAGGCCAAGGCAGGCAGATCACCTGAGGTCAGGAGTTTGAGACCAGCCTGGCTAGCATGACAAAACCCCATCTCTATTAAAAATACAAAAAATTAGCCAGGCATGGTGGTGCTTGCCTGTAATCCCAGCTACTTGGGAGGCTGAGGCAGGAGAATCACTTGAACCCAGGAGGCAGAGGTTGCAGTGAGCCAAGATCATGCCACTGCACTCCAGCCTGGGCAACAAGAGTGAAACTCCGTCTCAAAAAAGAAAAAAAAAAAAGAAACTGTCTCACAAAAAAAGAAGGTGGTTCACACACACACACCCCCCCAGGAAAGCTCAGGGCCGGAAGGCAGCCAACCTGGCCGTGACCCTCATCCTGCACACGTGAGCTTGGTGACCAGTAGCTGATTCTTTAACCCTCTAAGCTTTGGAGTCTGGATGTGAGGTTTAAAATTCATGACAAGAAGCTGGAAGGATGCCTCCAGCCTGACTCCTGGACTGGTTCTCTTGACCACTTCAAGAATGACATCTTTGCGAAAGCTGCTAAAATGTTCTGGTTTCATTTCATTCTTTTCTATGCCATGACCTCTTAGATTTGTTCCTGGCAATTCTCATAAGAGTGAAGGAAATGTTTAAAGTGGCTGTTTGGGCTTCCTTTTGTGACACCCTGTGGGGAAGGTGCCCAGGTATGTATGGGTGCTGAGTGTGTGGCCAGCACGGTGTCTGTGGCTGGGCCTCCCTCCTGGACAGTGCGGCCACAGCCCCTGAAAGGTATGTCTTCATTTTTATTTATTTTTATTTTATTTTATTTATTTATTTTTTGAGATGGAGTCTTGCTTTGTTTCCCAGGCTGGAGTACAGTAGCGCCATCTCGGCTCACTGCAAGCTCCGCCTCCCGGGTTCACGCCATTCTCCTGCCTCAGCCTGCCGAGCAGCTGGTACTACAGGTGCCCGCCACCATGCCCGGCTAACTTTTTGTATTTTTAGTAGAGACAGGGTTTCACCGTGTTAGCCAGAATGGTCTCAATCTCCTGACCTTGTGATTCGCTCACCTCTGCCTCCCAAAGTGCTAGGATTACAGGCGTGAGCCACCGTGCCCGGACTTCATTTTTATTTTTGAACTTACTTGGCTCACCTAGTTATGTCTTTATCTTGTTTTTTAACTTACCCAGTTCACCCAGTGTGGAATTAGGAGTATATGGACATATTCCCGCCCCCAGTTTTATATACCGCCCCAGAGCTGACTACTCTTGGTCGCTTCTGCTAGGTCCTGGCCGACTCGAATGTGCCTTTCCTCCTGATCCTGTGCCACACAGGGCTGAGGGATGCTACCCTCTCCTTCTTCACCTGCCCCTCCCTCACATATCCAGCCCCACCAGGCTACACGTTAGCTTAAAGAGGGAGCTTTCACATTCCCCATGAAAGGGAATCCAGGGGCAGGCTGAGGCAGGAGACCCCCAGTGTTCATGAGATGCCATTCTAGAGAAAGCACTGTGGTGCTGAAGGCCTCAGTCAGACCCCAGGGAGACATGCCCCAGGGTGACTTTGGGTGGAGAGTCCTGTGCCTGTTCTACTTCTATAAAAATATCCAGGCCGCCGGGTGCGGTGGCTCACGCCTGTAATCCCAGCACTTTGGGAGGCCGAGGCGGGCGGATCACAAGGTCAGGAGATCGAGACCACGGTGAAACCCCATCTCTACTAAAAATACAAAAAAAAATTAGCCAGGCACGGTGGCGGGTGCCTGTAGTCCAGCTACTCAGGAGGCTGAGGCAGGAGAATGGCGTAAACCCGGGAGGCGGAGCTTGCAGTGAGCTGAGATCCGGCCACTGCACTCCAGCCTGGGGCACAGAGCGAGACTCCGTCTCAAAAATAAAAAATAAAAATAAAATAAAATAAAAAATATCTAGGCCAGGCATGGTGGCTCACGCCTATAATCCCAGCACACTGGGAGGCCGAGGCAGGCAGATCATTTAAGGTCAGGAGTTCAAGACCAGCCTGGCCAACATGGTGAAACCCCATCTCTACTAAAAATACAAAAAAATGACGGCGCTGTGGCTCACACCTGTAATCCCCGCATATTGGGAGGCTGAGGCAGGCAGATCATTTGCGGTCGGGAGTTCAAGACCAGCCTGACCAACATGAAGAAACCCCATCTCTACTAATAATACAAAAATTAGCTGGGTGTGCTAGCACTTGCCTGTAATTCCAGCTACTCGGGAGACTGAGGCACGAGAATCACTTGAACCCAGGAGGCGGAGGTTCTGGTGAGCCGAGATCGCGCCATTGCACTCCAGCCTGGGCAACAAAGAGCAAAACTCCGTCTCAAAAAGTAGTAATAATAATATTTAAAAAATGAGCCGGGCATGGTGACCTGCACCTGTAATCCCAGCTACTCAGGAGGCTGAGGCAGGAGAATCACTTGAACCCAGAAGGTGGAGGCTGCATTGAGCCGAGACTGCACCACTGCACTCCAGCCTGGATGACAGAATGAGACTGTGTCTCTAAATAAATAAATAAATAATATGTTTGTCTAAAAATGCCTTTTTAATTATGAGGTATGTACAGAAAGCACACATAGTGTAAGTGTAGCACACGCTGGACTTTCACAAGTGACACGTGAAATGGGAAAACATTGGCCGGGCATGGTGGTTCATGCCTGTAATCCCAGCACTGGGAGGCCAAGGCAGGCGGCTCATGAGGTCAGGAGATCGAGACCATTCTGGCTAACACGGTAAAACCCCATCTCTATTAAAATACAAACATTAGTTGGGCGTGGTGGCACATGCGTGTAATCCCAGCTACTAGGGAGGCTGAGGCAGGAGAATGGCATGAACCCAGAAGGCAGAGCTTGCAGTGAGCTGAGATCATGCCAGTGCACTCCGGCCTGGGCGACAAAGCGAGACTCCATCTCAAAAAAAAGAAAAAAAAAGGCCGGGTGCGGTGGCTCACGCCTGTAATCCCAGCACTTTGGGAGGCCGAGGCAGGTGGATCACAAGGTCAGGAGATCGAGACCATCCTGGCTAACACGGTGAAACCCCGTCTCTACTGAAAATCCAAAAAATTAGCCGGGCATGGTGGCGGGCGCCTGTAGTCCCAGCTA